GGTTTTAAACTCAGGATCTTGGGCTTGGTGACAGGTTCTCTACCACTCGAGCCTGCACCTAAATATTAACTTACTAGCTAGATAACAGTGGCTCACACCTGTAATCCTAGCTGCTTGGGATGTTGAGATCTGGAGAATCAAGGTTCAAGGCCAGACTGGGCAAATAGTTCACAAGACCCCACTTGCAAAATAACAAGAGGAAATGGACTGAAGGTGTGGCTCAAATGGTAGGGCATCTGCTTTGCAAGTGCAAAGCCCTGAGTTCAAACCTCATCTCATCAAAAAATAAAACAAAACAAGCTTCACTACCACCTTCTAAGGTACTGTGAGGAAGGTTAAATGGTTAAGTAACTCATCACACACCAAGGCAGGGGTGAAGCCTGGATTTTAATCCATGCAATCTGGCTTCTCCATGTTTCTAGTATTACTCTTATGTTAACAGTCTACTCCAAAGGATGAACGAGAATATTACAAACTTTAGATGGGTTACACTTAGTGTACTGACATGTCTTAGTAAACTCTAGTAGTTTTGAATAGGTAGCACCTTTTAAAAAAATGAGCCATAACTTGCTTCTTAATAACAGATTCAAATTTAACAATCTTTTAAGAGACCTTATCTTTTAAGACAAGATCTAGCAAGACTATCCGGTACCTAACCAAACTGACAAAATGACTTTGTAAGACCAGTAAGAAGACGAACATGTTTGTTATTCCTGCTCTTTTCAAAACCATTATAGGTACAACAATACAGAGTACCTCAAAAGCTGATCAAAACTCCCAGGAATAGTACTTAGAAGTTCGAAAGTACAAAACAATGAACAAAAATCTCTCCTAGAAACCGCTGTTTACTAACTCAATAGTTGGAAAAACACAAAGGGAAAATGAAGAGACTTATCTGTGAAAGTAGTATCAATTTGCAGGTTCATTTACATAAATTTGGTAAAGGTACATGACTTAATGTGCCAACATGAATATCATGAGACTGACACCATTTTAACACGTGTGTTCAAACATTGCCTGAACAAGCCAGCGCAACTCTTTTGGTAGTGGCAATATAAATGGACTATATAGTTGACGGCAGAATGTTCCTTAAAGTGAATATAAAGCTTCCAGGGCAGCTCCAGGGCTTTAAATCGCTATCTAAAGAAAACCATTTTGTATTAAGTGTGATACAATTGTGAATGGTGCCAAGAAGAAAAAAACCTGTAAGGCTAATGCTCCAAAGATGGGTAGTAGAAGTTGCTGTAAATACTCTACCTAGTCACCAATTTCCCCTGGCAAATAACTTGGTAAAAAATAATTTGAAGCTAATGTATAAAGAATGCTTTTGATTAACCTTATAAGAGAAGACTATGTACTTAATACACATGATTTTAAATAATGCCCTATAAATTGAACATACTATACTTATCAAGTTATTTAGCTTAAATACATCTGCTACAAGGGGATTGGACTATGAGCACATGATAAAAGTGAGCACACAAGGGAGGGGTGAGGATAGGTAAGACACCTAAAAAATTAGCTAGCATTTGTTGCCCTCAACGCAGAGAAACTAAAGCAGATACCTTAAAAGCAACTGAGGACAATAGGAAAAGGGGAACGGGTACTAGAGAAAAGGTTAGTTCAAGAACACCCACGCACAGGAAATCAATGTGAGTCAATGCCCTGTATAGCTATCCTTATCTCAACCAGCAAAAACCCTTGTTCCTTCCTATTATTGCTTATACTCTCTCTATAACAAAATTAGAAATAAGGGCAAAATAGTTTCTGCTGGGTATTGATGGGGGGAGAGGGAGGGGAGCGGAGTGGGTGGTAAGGGAGGGGGTGGGGGCAGGGGGGAGAAATGAACCAAGCCTTGTATGCACATATGAATAATAAAAGAAAAAGGAAAAAAAATACATCTGCTTTGGGACAGTCTTCTGTGGATGCTTCACAGTTGAATGACACCACAAACAAATCTTATTAGATTATTATAAAACAAAATTAATAGTGCTGCAAATATTCATAATAACATTATTGGCTAACAAGACAACCTATCATGTACTGAATTAATAATGCTGTGGTCAATAATTTGTAATAATAATGATAGTAAACAATAATTACAAAGATTAGCAGCAATTAAACACTATGACAGCTGGGCACGGTGGCTTATGCCTGTAATCCTAGCTATTTGGGAGGTAAAGATTGGGAGGACCATGGTTCCAGGGCCAGCCCAAGCAGTTAGCAAGAACCCATATATCAGTGAATGAAGAGGTGGGCATGGGAGTACATGTCTGTCATCCTAGGCAAGCAGGAAGCACAAATATACAAGGATTATGGTACAGTCTTGCCTAAGTATAAAAGTGACATTCTATTAGACCCTATTAGCCAGGCACCAGTGGCTCATGCCTGTAATCCTAGCTGCTCAAGAGGCAGAGATCAGGAGGATCGAGGTTTCAAGCCAGCCCAGGCAAATAGTTTGAGAGATTCTATCTCAGAAAAAACCATCACAAAAAAAGGACTGGTGGAGTGGCTCAAAGTGTAGGCCCTGAGTTCAAACCCCAGTACCACAAAAAAAGAAAAAAGAAAAAAACCAAGCAAAAAGGGCTGTCTTCGTAAGTAGTAGAGTGCCAGCCTACCAAGTACAAGGCCTTGAGTTCAAACCCCAGTACCAGAGGAGGTAAAAAAAAGAGTAACAATTATGACTCAAAGTAATGACAAACAAAAGCAAGCAAAGAGAAAGAAAAAATTGCAGCAAACCTAAAACAGAATAAAACTTGTCCTGGAAAACTGCTGGAATCCCAGTTATCTCTAGAGAGGACTGGCAGAAGATTGGTAGCACTACAAAATACTGAATTACAGCAAACTTTGTAACTGAGTTCTGAATACTCATTTTAGTCTTTTTTTTTTTTTTTTTGTGGGATTGAGGTTTGAACTCAGGGCTTTGCACCTGCAAAGCAGGTACTCTACCAGTTGAGCCACACCTACAGTCCATTTTGCTCTGGCTATTTTGAAGATGGGGGTCTCTCAGAAACTGTTTGCCTGGGCTGGCCTTGAACTGTGATCCTCCTGATCTCAACCTCCCAAGTAAGTCACTGTGGACTGGCTTTTTAATAACTCTTAATTTATTTATTAGTATTAAATTCTTAGATATATAAAGAAATAAAATTTGGAAGAAGGAAAAATTTATTCTTCAAAAAACAACTAGAAATTTGGGATCTGTTGCAGGGCCACCTTGGGAAATCTGGGCTGCAGATTACAAAGAGCCACTTGTTTAAATAACACTTCTAGTGTAAAATAAAGTCTCTCTCCTTCCCTACCTTCCACACTCATTACTAGGATATAAATAAACATTAGGAACACATTAGTAATATACATATTGGGCAGTATAAACATCAAAATATCTTACAACTGACCGTATACTGCTTGCAGTTTACAAGGCTCTTCTGCATGAGCTCATGAATACATCCATCTTGAAGAGGTGAAATTATAATTCTTTTTTTTTTAAGAGACAGGGTTCTTGATATGTTGCCCAGACTAGTCTCAAACTTCTGGGCTCAAGTGATTTTCTTGCTCCAGTAGCTGAGACTACAGGCTGTACCATGGCACTTGGCTTAAATTATCTCCATGTTAAAGAAGAGAAACCCAATGTCTTGAACAGTTTTTTGCTCAAGGTAAAGAAGCAGAGCCAAAACTTAAATTCAGAGCTTCCTATTTCAAAGTTTCTGTAGCCCGCAACTACTACAGGCTGAATCTAGAAATCAAGTGAAGCACGTAAAAAGGCTTTGCAAAACCAAAACAACTAACATGATTTTACAATGATTATTATTCACTGATCCACCAGTGAAATACCTATGCCCAGGTATTACCTGAACAACTTAAATCTCTAATGTGGTTCAGGAAGCAGTATTTTCAAAATCTGCCCAGGATTCACTCGCTAAATAAATCTGCCCAAGTGATTTTAACATGCATTAGGGTGGAAACCCTTTAATCTGAGTTCAATGATACAAATAGCAATAGTGCTTTACAAATATGTTTTTCCACTGGGTCAGTTTTTATACATCCTTTTTATAGTAATTAATCATCACTCCTTAATTAGACATGGTATATCAAGAGTTTAATGAAAGAAAAAGAAAAAAGAGTTTAATGAAGCCAATGTTGACTTTAGTTTTTATCTGAGTCGGAATCTTGCTATGTTGCCTAGGCTGGTCTCAAATGCCTAGGCTCAATCGATCCTCCTGCCTTAGCCTCCCAAACAGCTGGGACTACAGATGTGAGCCACTATGCCTGGTCAAAGTGCTAACTTTGAAGACTTCAGTAGTAACTATAAGAAAGGTATAAAGGTTAGGTATAGACATGCACATCTATAATCCCAGCACTCAGGAGGTGAAGCAGAAGAATCTTGAGGCCTGCCTAGGCAATGAAGCAGGACTTCAAATGAAAATATTTTTATATTATTTTCAATATATTTTTGTTATTTCTTAAAAACACTATTCTAGGGCTGGAGGTGTAGCTCAAGCAGTATAGCCCTGAATTCAATCCCCCAGTACTGCCAAAAAACCAACCAAACAAAAAACTCTATTCTAGCCACTACTTAGAACATTCTAGTTAAAAACAAAGCCTTCAGTCTGTTATTAAGAACATCTAAAATCATTACCTGCAACTGAAGATAACCCAATTGTTTTTATAAAACACTCAATTTAAATTGCATTTTTTTTTTTTTCCTTTTCCCTTTTCTTTTGAGACAGACCTCATATGTAGCACAGGTTTGCTCAAACTCACTAGGAAGCCCAGCCTAATCTCAAATTTAAGATCCTCCAGCCTCTGCCTCCCTCCCAAGTGCTGGGATTACATTCATGTACCACAACACCCAGAAAATTGCATTCACTTAAGGAACAGAAAGCTTTACTAAACTAAACATAATAAATAAAGTAACTGTCAAGATATTAAAGGGACACATTACCTAGTAATTGAAAACAAAAATCATTTTAAAAAATACTATATATTAAGATCATCCTTACCTTTTGTAGACTTGTTGGATTCAACTGAGTTTTGTCAATTATTTTTATTGCAACCTAGAAAAAAATAAGTATTTATGGATTTTCAGAATTTGGGCATTATAAACTAACTGGTAATAGTTTTGTAAATGCCAACACATATGGCATTGCTAAATAGCAAGCAAACAAGCAAACCTTTTAGAATCTAAAACTCAGCTGGCTACAAAAGCAATTCTAACTTTCCCTTTCCACCTCCTACACCCCCCAGAAAAGATTATAAAATGAAAACACTTTTAAACCACATGCAGCTGGGCACTGGTGGCTCACACCTATAATCCTAGCTGCTTGGGAGGCTTAAACCAGGAGGATCACAGTTTGAGGCCAGTCTGAGCAAACAGTTTGTGAGGATTCCCCCTCCCCATCTCCAAAATAATCAGATCAAAATGTACTAGAGTTGTGGCTCAAGTGATACAGTGCCTGATTTGCAAGTGGGAAGCCCTAAATTCAAATCCGAATCTCACCAAAAACATTAAAATAACAAACAAAAAACATACGCAATGTAGTAAATCTCTTTTCTTTTTTGGGTAGAAGGTAATGGGGACTAGAACCCAGAGCCTAATGCATACTAGGCAAGTACTCTAACACTGAGCTATATCCCCAGCCCTCTTTCTATTTTGACACTAATTTCAAGGGACTCTGGGATCCTGAAGCAGGAAGTATGCTCTAGAGGCATATACCTCTAGAGTATAGAGGCAAATACCTCTACAGTGACAGTTTAAGTAAGTCTACAAAGGTTGGTGTTGAATCTGAAAACTTTAAAAACATTTGATTTAAAAAAATAGAGAGTTGGTGGAATGGCTCAAGTAGTCGAGCACCTGCCAATAGGGTACATGATACGCATGTATGGAAATGTCACAATAAAACCCCTTATAAAACTATTAAACTAATGAAAACTAAAACCAAAACCAAACCAAACAAAACAAAATAGAAGGTCTGGCAAGGTGGCATGCACCTGTAGTCCCCAGTACTCATGAAGTTAAGGTGAGAGGATTGCTTGAGCCCAGGAGTTCAAGATCAGACTGGGCAAACAATGGAAAAACCCTTCAGGCAGTTAAAGAAAGACCAATCTGTGGCTTAACCATGTGAACTGTGTCCAGAGGCAACAAATGTGTCACCTGGTAACCTTTGTTCAGAAAGAGGTAAATATATCCCCAAACAGTATTAAAAAAAAAAAAAAAGCACTAGGATACATGATGGAAATAAGTACAGCTTCTATTTATGTGCAATGCTCACGTTTGAAAAAGGAAAAAAATCAGTTTTACTAATATTTACTAAATGAACCTCAATCAGCATTTGGTAGGCTCATTACGTACTGCATAAAAATGATTTATACTGGGTTGGGGTACAGCCTAGTGATAGAGCACACGCATAGCACAGGTAAGGCCCTGAATTTTATCCCCAGCACAAAATAATTTTCTTTTTCCTATAGACTATGAATATCCAAAATGGGGGACTATTTTAGTTTCCTTTACCTATTAAGGGTTACTAATGACCTCAACTGTGGGTTTTATCTATGGATATTTGCCACATTATAAATAAAAACAGAGAAATTGTAAAAATAAGCAATTAACCATTCATTTCAAAATAACAGTAAGCCCATTTCATTAACATGTTTTAACAAAACTTTCATGGGTTTCTGCACTTAATATGTTATGATACATGTCACATGTCCTCTGGAAAATTCCATTCTCCATTTGTGACCAAGAGTAAAAAAAAGCAAATGTTTAAACAGTATTAGAGAACAAAATTATTTTAGAAAAGCTTCTGGGGTCCTACCAAACCATACGCTGGTAATAGCCACCCCTATGCACATTGTGTGTTTGTTTTGTTTTTCTTTTTGGCAGGACTGAGGTTTAAATTCAGGGCTTCATGTTTGCAAAGCAGCCACTCTACCACTTGAGCCATACCTCCAGCTCATTTTGCTCTGGTAATTTTTGGAGATGGGATCTTGTGAACTATTTAGCAGGGCTGGCCTCGATCCTCAATCCTCCTGATCTCAGCCTTCCAAGAAGCTAGGATTATAGGGTTGAGCCACCAGCTAATACTAAACTTTAAAAAAAAAATGCTTATAACTGGGTCTAAAGCCTCCACCTTCTCATGTTATCCATTCCTCATAGACCTGTTAACCTTCAGAGGAGCTACAGAGAATACTACAGCAAAGGCACCTATGATTCTGACCCCAGTGATGAGGCAAATCAGAAATGGAAAATGAATAACATATGTGCTTGAAAAAAAGTAGTCAGAATTCTTAATGGAAAGTACACTAATAAGAAAAAAGAAAATATTGGCTGTTGGAATAGGCAAACGCTGATTACTTATGCATATCTTAATTGGGGGGAGCTTGTCTTATTCATCTTTACAGCCTAGCACACTGCACAGGCACATCACTCAATGTTTGTTAAGTTGATCCAAGGCCTTGAGCACTCAGCATCAGCATGGAAACATATATTAGATAGGACAGTGAAGAAACAGGGTTTCTGGTGTCTTAACAGATAGCAATGTGGCTTTTAAGTTTTTACATTATTTTAAAATTTAATTAATTCATTTTCTTCAAACCCTATTTTTGTAAGTAATTTTATGTTGTATTCTTGGATCTCCCAATTGCAAAGAAACCCCCTTAGCTAGACTGTTCTTTTCTGGTCACAATTCTGTTTTCATCCTCTTTGGGCCAAACAGGGTTAGCCCTGTTGCTCTTCCTTCTGATCTTTTGAGACCTGGTTTCTAGGTTCATGACTGGACTCACAATTACTAGTTATTTCTAGTTATGCACAATATCCTCCTATTTTAAAGACGACTGTTAAAAAAAAAAAAAAAACTTCAAATATGTTGGATTCGGTTTCCAAACTACAGAAAACAATCATTCTATCAAAGTCATGGTATTCCCAGAGTGAAACACTATCATTTAACATGATGAATGTATGTGAACCAATGATGCCTAAAGGTGAAGTTCTTAATCCCCATTTTTTCCCTGCTCCCTGCTAGAATGACTCAACCACCAAATTAACCTAGGCCCAGATCTGGAGCCTGGAGAACTGAGACAGGTGAGATTCTTAGGTCACTAAGAGAAGACAACTGTGAGACATTATTGTTTCAGTGCCTCAGACTGGAGAGGAAACTACCCATTCTCATTCCCATAGTTGTAGATGGTATACGGTGGGGGATAAAAGGGTCACAGCAAAAGCCAATGGGGTTTATAGGTGAGAAAAAAGTGTGCATGCCACTTGCCACGTAAAGTTCTGGGAATTCCATTTGTCTACCGATGCCAGAAACAAAGCAGAAAATTACAAAATAGGGATAAAGACAGCTCTTGCAAGAGAAGAGCTTCCCCACACAACTCAACAGAATAGGCCCAGCAGCCTTGGAGAAAAATGTTTATTTTGTACTTCCTTCAAGTTTCCTGACTTTGAAAGGTGTTAAAGCATCCACAGCTACTAAAAGAGCAGGTGCAAAACAAACAAACAAAAACCTCCAAGTTCCTTAAGGGGACAGAACAGCCTAAGGAATGGTGTATTAGTCTACTCAGGGTGCTATGACGAAATACACCCTGACAAATAGACTAGGTGGCTTAAACAACAAAAATTTATTTTTTCACAAATCTGGAATTTGAAAGTCCATGATCAAGGTACCAACAGGGTTGGTTCTGAAAAGGGATTCCTGCCTTGCAGACAGTTTCTGTCTCACTATGTCCTCAATCTCACTGTGTCCTCACACAGAGGAGAAAGCCAATTCTATGGTGTTTCTTTTAATAAAGATACAAATCCTATTGATACATGGCTCAAACTTCTTTAAAGACTCTATTACCAAACACAGTCACACTGTAAGTCAGGGCTTTAATATACAAATGTGGAGGATATGATTCAGTCCATGGTAGCTGAAGACCAAGCCAAACAACAACATCTGGTTACAAAATAAAACTTCAAATTAAAACTTAAATGACACATAACATGCAAGAATGTCACAAGCATAAAGTAAAAGCAATAGACACAAAGTAATAATCTGCACGATTTCATTAGTACAATGTTTAAAAGCCAGGCATTTCAGTAGAGTTTATTTTTATTTAATTTTTTTGGTTGTACTGGGGTTTGAACTCAGGACTTCACACTTGCTAGGCAGGAACTCTATCACTTTAGACACTCCACTGCCCGTTTTTTTTTTTTTGGGGGGGGGGGTGGGGTGGGTAATTTTGAACTATTTCCCCCAGGTGGCTTCAAACCTCGACTCTCCTGATTTTTGCCTCCTGAGTAGCTAGGATTACAGGTGTGAGCCATGATCACTTAACAGTTTTGTTTTTTTTTTTAAGTCATTGATGCTTTTAAAAAGTCAAGAGTTAATACCTAAACAGGAATACAAGCAAGTTATTATAGGTAAGAAAATAAAACCCAAAGAATCAGTTTAAAAAATTAAAAGTAGCCATCTTAAGAAACTAGGAAATGGGGACATCTAGAGCACTACTATTTTTTTGCAACAAGTCTAGATTCTTTAAACTGTGTAGAACAGAACTTGAGTAAAAATTACTAAATGACAAGTTTTTCCATAACCACAGTAAAGATGTTTGGTTAAAGATGGCATACTCATCATATGCATCTCTCTCTTCTCTCACCTGAAAGGTCACTGAAGTATAAAGACATATTGACAAAGAGAATGGAAAAGATGCCACTAGTAGACAAACGACTTCAAACAATTTCTAGGAAGATAAGCTTAAAGTGCTCCAGGAAGCAGAAACTTAACTGTCCAGAGAAAATAACTCTGTTGTGTAGTATATAGAAGATGACAGTGGAAAGGCTAATGCTCCTCTCAGTCATCTTGAGCTAAGTCCAGCACTCACTCACCAATGAACAACACACAGAATACTTTCAATTTCCTTCCTTGGGCTCCATTCTGAAAAACTAACAGAGAGAGAAAAAAAAAATCACAGGACAAATGAGAAAAGCCTATGATATTTCATAACACCATCTTTCATGTATGTGATGTTAAGGGAAAATACCAGAAACTATTAACCTTCTTCTTTCAAGACAGGT